CATTTTTTTAGAATTTATTAATTTCTTGCGAAATTTAGAAAGGTTCTAAGAAAGATGTTTCGAGATGTTCTTCCCTGAGCCTACGATTACTTAATTTAAAATTCATAAGTATCAGAAATCCTACTCTCAAAATTTTGAGTTTCTTTTGTACAAAGTTTTGAAGTTTAAAGAAAAAATACCGTAAACGTTTTTTAGATATGAAAAAATAATTATATTTACAACTATCACACAATTGATGCAAAAAATCTAAAACTATAACTAAACATATTTTGCGTTAGATGATGTCAAACTTTGTGGAATCTGTTAATATATTATTTTATACTTACTGGACAGTAAGTCAGCTAATTGTAAGAGTTACACGATCCAAGCAACTGCATGCATTGAAAATAGTTTGACGTAAAATTTTGCTGTCATTTACCCAAAGTTTACTTGTGATAACTTTTAAAGTGTGGTTATACTATTTTCGTGATGTGCGCTTTTTATCGGTATTTTTCGAATAGATTTGGTAGTTTGTATACGCTTTCAATTGTCTTGCGTGGTTTCAAGATACGACAAGAGTGATGAAATACATAGACATGACGACATCTACCTACAAAAATAGGGATTCGAAAAAAAAAAAAAAAAAAAAAAAACAGCTCATGCACGAGTGGGTATATTACTATATTAGTATACACAGCTGTGAACCGATAGTTGGGGAGACCAACGGGTCCTTGCGCCCGACACTGACCCCATTTTATGCGTCACCACAAAACACACTCTCATATATATATTTTTTTTGCTCGTTGAGTTTTGAGGCACGATTGCTCGAGTGCGAGACTACCTTCCATTATTTTCCAAAGCAAAGATAGTAACCATACATAGATCGTATATACATTTGGCGTGAAACCAATTTGGAACCTAATGTTAGGATTGGCCTAGCAATTTACTTTACAGGGCTTGCTATGTACGTAATTAAATTTCTTGTCTGGGTCAGGGAATTTTTTTCCAATTTAACTTAAAATTGATAAGTAACTCCGTTTTGACACTTACTTATTGTGTTCCAGGAGATATTTGGACCTCAAACTGGAATATTGACGTGTAACCAATTAGATATTCTTCACAAAAAAATTGAACATCGCTGTTAATCGAAGTAGTGACTTAAAATTACAAAAAAGCAAGAAATAATAGCCGGTTGGATTCGTTAAAACCATACAGTTTAAAATATTCAAGTAATTAAATTGTCACACAAACCATTTATTTGGTTACTCGTTTTCCAATAAAATGTTGGTTGGACTAACTAAATTTTTTTTCCCGGAAAACCAATTTTTGCCTATAGAAGAAGAAGAAATAAAAATAAAAAAAAATCAAAGATATTTGCGATATTGATATTATGCATCATTTTTTTTTTATTGCAAACGTCCCTCTGGAGACTTGACGCTTTAGGAACGATTAAATTTTTGCTATTTGCCAAAACGTTGTCTAATCATCGGTGATGGCTTTCATGCATGTAGAAGCGCGTTGTATTTTTCATAACGTCTCGTTTTTTTTTTTTTTTTTTTTTTTTTTTTTCCACCACATTCGATGTAAGTACTACGCGTACGTTTTTACCTTTCTCTCCGCCATCGAGTAGCGCCCCTATATAAACACGCACGTATACTTGACCCCCTCCTCCCCGCGTTGCTCGAACGATCGATTAGGAGGGCACATGACGGCCACTTTCCGACGTTTGTACACCGATCTCGACCCAATTCGAGCTCATAATACATTTTGTGGAAGAAGGTTGTACGCACGCGATTCTGAATTTTTTATTCGCCCGCCGCGCGTGGGATTTTTCGTACATGGAGAGCCGACAAACAGCAACTTGAGGTGTGTATGTGAAGCACGTGTTCAGATTTTTCTCTCTTTTTTTACTTTTTTTTTTCTTTACCACGTGAAGGTCATTAAACGATGTGGATAATGCAAAAAAAAAGTTACGTCTTATTTTTACGTGTTTACAACGTTTGCACTTATATTATACGTATGTGTTTTTTTTTCTGCACACCTCATTCTCATCAATTCCAATTCCGCTTAGCTGTGACGTACGGACTTTTCATAAATATTACATGTACTACTTACCCGTTGAATATTTCCGTCGCGTCATCGAAGCTAGGAATTTATAAATGTTTCATGCTCAAGAAAAAAAACAAAGAGCGCACAATCAAGTAACCAAACAAACAAGCCATCAAGTATCACGGGGTACTAAAATATTTAATTAGACCGCCTGACTGTCTACTTTTTTCTTTCCTCGGTTCCAAGGCACACTCGAATCATTACTTTCACGTAGCTTTTTTTTTATCTCTCATCGCTTCCTCTTCTCTTCGCGTCTTTATCATGCATTTTTCGGTCCCTCCTCTTTCATTACTTGTATGTACGTTTACCAGCACACTTAGACTCGAACCAAATGTTTTTTTTATCTCTAATCGCACTATTGAGCTTCACGTGTGTGCGTACCGATACATATGTGTGAAGCATGGAATGGGACAAATTATTTATTATTTCTTTTTCCGTCGTGGTAATGGAAATCGTTGTTTACTATGTACAGTCATCAAAAAATCATTTCCTGACTTGTGTTTGTACATATGATCGATTCCGTGAAAAAAACTCGTTTCATGTACCTTCGAACGAAAAAATGTATTTCCATCTTCTATATATAAAAACATAGCTGTTTCCATGAATATTAAAAAATTTGTAAGCATAAAGTGAGCAGAGCGTGTCACATTTTTCAGACTGTTTAAGTTACACGGTTCATTTTTTTAGAATTTATTAATTTCTTGCGAAATTTAGAAAGGTTCTAAGAAAGATGTTTCGAGATGTTCTTCCCTGAGCCTACGATTACTTAATTTAAAATTCATAAGTATCAGAAATCCTACTCTCAAAATTTTGAGTTTCTTTTGTACAAAGTTTTGAAGTTTAAAGAAAAAATACCGTAAACGTTTTTTTTCTNTGTGAGTTTTAAATCTTTACAGCTTTTAAAAATAGCCCTGATCATAGATTATACGGGAGGAACTGCAAATCAACGGCCTTTTAGGGCTAACGATTATTTTATGGCATTAGGAATGCACGGTACTTTTTAGCATAATTATATTTTGTCCACTTTTGACAGCTTTTTACTTGACCAAATAAGCTGTATGCATTTCGAACAAATATGTTTTTAATAAGAAGATTTTTGTTCTGATAAGTGTCAGAACTAGATGTAAAATTTTTAACTGAAAATGTTTCACATTACATGTTAACACACTACGGTGTTCTATTTAATGAGTCTCGGGCGAAGCCGAGACGGGGGGGCTGCTAGTCGTAGATAAAATAATATTAAATAGCTGATACTTGCAGAGATGGCGATACAGTCGAGAATACGGTTTGGATGCGATTGGGATGCGAATACGATTTATTTAAACGCAGCCAACATTTCCACTAGGGATAAGAACTGTCTCATAAATATTTTAAGTTACGTTGATATGTATGTAATAATTATTTTTAATGCTATATGATAATGTGTAATATCTTTCCAGGAATCTGTCAAAACATTTATAATAAAAACATAAATTTAAAATATTTTAGACCTACGTTTTTACCGATTCAAAATGAATTATTGGGGTTGCGATGAATTCAACATCGTGTTTGCAAGCTGTTAACTGATTGTGAGATAACACAAAATTATAAAATGCAAGATAGGATAAACGTTCATCACAGCAAAATCAAAAATGCTGAACATCTCTTTAATAATCCTAATGCTTTTTAATTTCACAATTCGAAAACAGCAGATGGAAATCTAGAAATTCCAAAAATTATTGAGAAAGAAGCGAGATTATTATGGTCCTTCGAAACCACTTTCGACTTCGTTGCCTGTAAAGTATTGCTAAAAAACAATTTGCTTATAAATTATTACAAAGATGATCTCCTTCAAGAGAAAACTACATTTGCAGTTGCTCTTGAAAAAAAGAAATTCTTTCATATTATTTGATTGTAAGAATAGTTACAGAAATACGTAGAATCATAAACTAGACTCGTTTTAAATGATTGTAAGCCAAAATAAAGCAATTTTTCATTTCACAAGATTCTGATCAATTCTTATCATCAACATTTATTTAAAATTAATAATGGAGTCTTCTGATCGTCAAAAATTTATTTGAATGCGACCTAATTAACACCTAATATATTTTTTGCGAATAGTTGATAACATTAAAAACGTTTGTCATTAACCACTAAAAATATTCACTAAGAAGAAACTTAACTGAAACTGAGGTGAAGAAACAAATTTTAGTGTTCGAGAAAAAAAATTTTTTTAAGACAACGTACTGATTAAAAGGAATTGTCTTACAAATATTTGAGCTTGTAATTAGTTGTAAACAAATACACACATTAATATTAATTTTTCAAATCGTCAGAAGAAAAATTTTGGAAACAGAAAACGTTGAAAATCATTAGTAAATATTACACGAGCTCTCACGAAGAAACAAGGTTCTGTTTTCTCGTTCTTTTTTTCAGATTCTAAACCCTACTTTTCGTTCTAATACTTTTTCATGATTCCCACCTAAATACAAAATATTCTCGGTTTTCTGTCTAAGTCCATGTTAAATAACTTATTTTCAAGACTTTTTTCTTTCAAAAATACCTTCGCTTGAAAATATAAAAAAATGTATATGCTTGCAGAAATTGTTTTTTACTACATTGCACGTATATTATTTTTCCCCTAAATCTCAAATTATAGTCCTCAAGGTTCAAAATGTAATAACACTCGGAGCAATTCTTTTTAAGGTATACTGCAATCGCCAACGTCCCCGCATTTAATAATTACGAGCAGATACCAAACCTTTCAAGAGCAATAGAGCAGCAGGCTAGAGTTACTAACACATCTGTCAGTTGTGTGCCGGTCGCCGTTAGCGCTGGTCAGAGATTGACTAGTCGCTCCGTGTTTAATTTTTTTTTTTAATGTAGTGAAACTTGTGAAATGTTGCATATACGATTAAAAATGTTTTATTTTGTCAGCCTTCAGTAGGGTTGATCCGTCATATTCATGTTGCAGTTGTGAATTGGTGTTTTGCTATTTAAGTTTTAGTGTCGTTTCACAGTCGTTGAGGTAAGAAATTTTGAGCTGTAAATAGTTGTTATTAATCGAAATACCACGTACACTATTTATTTGATTTTTCTGTTTGTCACACGAAATTAATTGACGTTATGTCTTCATTTATAACTAAGTTTTCACATGTGTACTGAATAAACAAACGCCTTTTTTTCGAAGTATTTTTATCGACTGTATATTATAATCATTGTATGCACTCAAGAGATAAGAAAATGAGCTACAAAAAATATAAAAAATTTGGTTTCTGCGGTTACAAAAACGTGGTGAGCGTGAGAGCACGCCTTTTTTCTCTCCAAATCATACATATTTATAATCATACGTCCTAAGTATGCACATACGTATACTCAATAATCACAAATACTTATCCACATACCCGTACGATATTACCTTTTTGGCTTGCTTTTTGGTTAGAAGAGAATTAGTAATAAACGCGTGAGCGTGACTGTCCATAAGAAAATTCTATTTTATCCTACTGATTCCAAAAGGTTATATTGAATATTATCTGGAAATTTAAATAAGTTTATTTTACAGAAAAGTGAATAAAATATACATTAATTTTTTAGAGAGGATTATACTGTTGTTACTATCCAATATACTAATATAATTATACAACATACTATTTGTACACATACTAATGAATTAAAAACATGTGAATTCCACCTCTATTACAACCGAATTCGTGACAAGATTTTGGGTATGATAAACGTTTGAAAATCATAAAATGTTTTTATACGAGAAACTTTTATAGTCTACTCCAGTAATTTACTACGTAAGTCTGTAATTTGATTGGAATTGAAGGTAGTTTGGTAAAACGTCTCCATAAAACAATGCTCTTATCACATGCTTCAAAATATTTTAGGTCACGTATTATGAATTTTTTCACTCGAAAATCTGTTGTATTTCGGTTGATATACAAAATAGATCTAGAATTTTTAACTTTTTTTGGAATTCCTTATATTTTTTTTCGTTTTTGCTTGTCAAATTGGTGTTAATTAGTTTTTTAATTAGAAATAAGAGTATTCTAAAAATAAATATAAAATTATAATGCACAGACATATTCAGGAACGATGCCTATAGTTTTTATTTTTTAATGGCCTTAGTGTCGTATTAGTATCCTAAACTATTTTTTCTAGCCATTTGACTTTTGCCATTTGTTTTGAATATACTCAAAAATGCACTTTTGAATGTATCTGAAACACATTAACTAAATGATTAAAAGTGCGTGAATCAAATGATTGTAAGGGCACGCCACACAAATATACTAAGGAGGTTCGTTACATATTATCGACAACGATTGAGAGCTGTAATTTAGTTTTCTATTGATTCTATGTGTTATAAAAAATAAACTTGCATTTTTCGGGCAATCTCAGCCATGTAGTTATTAAAATATTTCAAAATGAAAGATGAACAACTTAACATGGGCTATTATGGGAACAATAATGTAACCTAAAAATAACATACCTTATTTAGTAATGGTTAAAAAGTTAACAAAAATATATTTCGATACTTCAAATACTGCTGAATCATACAATCCTCTAATTTTTATTTGTATCCATACTAATTAAAGAGAAAATTATTTTTAAAATGAAAATAAAAACTTTGGTTAGGTTCATAAGATCGATGCATCTAATTCCATAGGAATAAACTGTATTACGTTCTGTAGGTAATGCCGTGAGCTTCCCACACCCCTGACCCCACTTTACTTAGTGAAGTTCACTACCTCGTTAAATGATTGTATCGAATCTCTTTTAGGGCAGTCCAAAGATCATTCAAGTTTTGTACTTACAGATAATGCTATTCTAAGTTTATAGATTTACAAAATTTTTTATAAAATAACGACCTGTTTTATCGAAAAAAAAAGTTGACACACATTGTTAATATTCCGAATAATGTATAAAGCTAAAAAATCTGCAGATGTAAGTAAAGAAGATATAATCTGAGTTTTCATTTTTCTCCTTCAAATTATAATCACTCTCACAGAAAAGTTTTTTTTATTCTTTCTCGCTGAAAAATGAAAAAAGTGCGTCTACTCTTATTTTTTTAGAAAAGCTATTCTAAAAAGTTTATCACAGTAATTGCACTATCTATACATATATATAATAAATGATCATGAATGTGTATTAAATTTAAAACTCATATGTGGTATTTTTTTAAATAATTTAGAAATAATAAATTAGATCACCCTTTTAATGTAACAGCTCCAGTATGTTTTACAGTACGATTTATGACGTAACACTTCATTAAACGATATCATTTTAGTACAATGGTACAATCACCGCAGATTATGTATGAAAAAAAAAAGTTTGGAAAGTCCAACAAGTCGTGTGAATCAAGGATAACCTTTTGGAGAACGTTCACACGTCACTGCCAGCCGGCTATTTTTGAATAAATAAACAGCTACGAAGTTGTGAAATTAATAAAATAATAAAACTATTTAATTGTAATCCTATCTTATAAAAAAATGGTTCATAAGATAAAACCTGTTTACTCGTTTTGTGATTAGTTAGAAACAATTACCTGGTTATTCAGAGCGGGTAAATCTAAAACTAGGTTTTAGGAAATGTTAAAAAAAATTTCCATTTTGTTCATTAAAAAAGTCCACTTGAAAAAAGTTATTTGCGTAACATTAAACCAGTTGTAAGTGGGTACTTGGGTACCAAAGTAAGAAATTATACTTCTACAAAATTATATGGCAAATTATATAATT